ATATATATATATATATATATATATATATATATATATATATATATATATATATATATATATATATATATATATTTGTATATATATCGGCATATGTCCGCATTTAAGTATTTCTAGAACATACACAGATGACCAATAGGCGATTTGGTTTTTGAATTTACACTTCCAGGTGTCACCGGTAGATCTCAAGCGAGCTTATTCCTTATTTATGGATCACAAAAGAAGCGAGAAGTTCTTGAACGATTATCAGAAATACTTCATCAATGACTGAGTTTTTATTGCTTGTTGAAAATCTCGTCATCCATTTTTGTTATTCTGATGGCATGGATAGGTGACCTTTGTATTTTTAAACGGTTTGTTATGCAATCTCCTTGGTAATTTAATTATTTCAAGCGATGAAAGTAATTCATCGGTTTTTCACTAATGCCATCTTGTCGCTTCATGATGTCCTAAATAATGGTTTTGATGTCCTTTTTCACCAGATATTAATCGATGTTCGAAATGTTTATAATCGTACTATTCACGATAGCATAGTCGGTAAAAATCAAAACAGCGGAAGCAATTGAAAGATCTCATAACTTACATTAACACTGTTGCTCGTATTTGAGTTGGAACGTCGACCTTGCATTGTCCTTGGTAGAGGATTAGATACCTAGCAGTAGCTCTGTCGCTCCCAAAATTCGAAGGCTCAAATATGTAGGCGGTTTGCATTTCCTACAACTTCAAATAGACTTTCAGTGCTTACAGACAAACTGACACATTTTGACACTTCCAATGAGAAAGGAACACACTACGAAATCATAGAGATTTGCTATGCTGCTGAAGTATAAACCGTACCCTAGCTTGGTTTTGCTTAATTTAATGAAAAGGATTTCAACTCAGTTACCTTATATCGAATCGCATTCATTTGCGCCATGTAGAATAGCAAAGGCAATTAGATCAATTCTGAATTACTGTTCACAATATTCCATTTCGTGACGCACGTCCCTTCTCTCCTTCCGCAATACATCACTCTTTTATCTGGACAACATACACAACTGAACATACTGGAAAGAAATGCATGCTGTGTGTTTAAGATTAACAACAAACAAATAGTTCATCACCGATAATTTCCTGGACAGTGAGATCTTCAACACACATTCAAGAGTTGACAAATTGCACTTAATGGGTTCAAACAGTTTGATCTTCGGAAATCTCACCCCGTGAAAATTTAAAAGTAGCCAGAGAGTAAATGCAAACTAAAATTTTGAACAGGAGTTCAACCTCAACCTTTTAGGTTAACAAGAGGTAAAGATGAAAGAAAAAAGAGAGATTGCATAATTTATACTCATAATTGGTTCTTTTCATGCTTACGTTCAGAAATGCATATATAAAAAATTATGGTTTTTAAATTCCTCATACAACTGATATCTAAATACGGCAAATTTGGTACACTGGACAAAAGATAGGATGAAGAAACACCCGCCTTAGTGAGCAAGCAAAGATATCCGTGACAACAGTGTACATATAAGTTCGAAACTCAAATAAGTGAACCAATGAGATCGATGAAAAACAAACACCAATGAGCAGGAAACGTCACATTAAAGTTGAAAACATTCATTAAAGGAATGCTGGTCAGAGTTTTCTCATGTTTGCAAACAGATTGAGAATGAACCTTTGGCGTGTAAATCGATTATTTAATCGATCCTGCCACAATCCACTGCTAAAAGAAAGTTTTCCTTCACATGATTTTTTCCAAAATCAACATAAATCTCAAATAGGTAATGCGTCTTGAAGATAAGCTACAAATCTTCACTGATGGAAGCATTCGACAACATCTGATTCAACTGCTTGGTTATAAGATCTATCAGTGCTTTCCTCCGAAATCGTCTTGCTTCACGCAGCGCGTAACGCAAGCATATCCTACGATCCACGATACAAAGATCTTCTATTTCCGTACTCTGCATCGACATTACTTTTTCAGCTGAAATATTCGTATTTTTTTTACGAATTTGCGAATAAAAAGAAGGCATCATTCCTGTTACGATTCTATGTTTAACATGCGTATGTCCATCAAGCTATCGCAGATGGCCTCGCAGATAAAAGCTGTTTCAAATTTGTGCTGCCAATAGAAAAAAATGGGAATGGGAAATCTCGTCCTCTCAAGAAGTCCTAGTAGTGAAGAATAATTAATCAGACGTTAAAATTACGCGAATAATACATACCGTTTGCCAGCTTCCTTACAAATTTGCCCAAAAGTAATTTTTTCGCCTTCAATGCCGATTCTTCTAAACGTGATGCACCTTCCAAACGTGATTTCTTGTCCAATGGTGAAAATTGAGACCTTGTTGGGGAGAGCCTTTTCAGAGACTTCTCATGCACATCACCATTCAATCTACGTTCAGAATTATCGTTTAAACCTGATGTAGACGGTCTGCAACCTGAACCAGTAGCTGATTCTGAAAGTACTAGAACACTATTTAAGTAAGCACATGCTGAAACGCATTTTCATCTGGTCATAAGTTTATAGCTCTAACAAACTCTCGAACAAAGACGAATTCCTCCAGTTGTCTTTTAATTTAGTTCAATCTTCCAATTTGAATCAAATTTCCAGCTGTGTTAAGATTAGGCATGTGCTTACTTTTGTGTTTCTCATTGTTACATCACATAGAACTGACTAAAAAGGTTCTATGTGATGTAACAATGAGAAACACAAAAGCTGGAAACAAACATCTACATTACGAATTCAGAAATCGCGCTGTTACGGGGAAGATGATCTCTTATCATCTGATGAAGAAAACTCACGAGAATCTTCGGGAAAGAGATCGGAAGTGAGAGAAGCTGATTCGAGATCGGGTAAAGAAGAAACAACCGATGAACATAAGGATGTGCTGCGCCGTCGTCGTCGCCTACAATTAGTAAAATGATGTGACATTCTCAAACTACTTTAGAAAGAGATCAAACACAATCAGATCTCCTCAGCAAGCAGGATAATTTCGAAAATTTCACAATATTTTGCGAAAATTGAAAGATACAGAAAGTTTAAAAACGATTACCGCCATTGAGACAAGGAATCAGCTGCTAAAGGTCCCGCCTTTCGTCGTGGTGGCCGATTACTATCTGCGCTTGAAGTACTTGAACCCGAAGACAACCGTTTTTTCGAAGTTTCTACTTTCGGAGAAGTTCCCAGTAAGTTCCCTTCACCTACTTCATCCACTGCCATAGTCTTCTGCAACATATAACCATAACAGAAGAACTTAACAAAAACTGCAATTGCAAAATATATGATTTAAAAACATAAAGTTTTTCCCAATTTTATAACTTAAAAGCAAAAAAATCTCATGATTACATACCTTATCGATTTTAAATGGGTTCCCGAACGCATGTGCACGAATTGCTTGAGGTTCAACTTCTCTAAGTGGACCACGCCCCACAGCCTCAAGGCTCTTGATATATTCCTGATAATTTCCCATCTGATTAATGGGAAGATTATGCAAATCCTCTGTAAACAAATATAATGTGACAAAAAGACTTCAGATTAAAAAATGTTAGAAGCAGTCAAACAAAAAATAGAAGCAGTGAAACAAACCGGCATGTTGCAATTTGATACTAGTACCCGGTCGACCACCTTCAAATACCGGTATCTGCCCTACGTTGAGCTGTTGCGTTAAATTGATTCGCATTTTTTGCACTTGTTCGAAGAGCTTACCCCGTCTAATTTCAAATGGATTTCGAAATTGTAAAGATGGAGCAATCAGTATTTTCGGAATGTCAACTTGTACCTGTAATTTTGTTTGCATACTTGACTTGTATTCGTCCAAGCTTTGTAGTACTAACCTGTAGTTAATCACAATATCTACCCGATCTAACGCGATAAATTTTGATAAAAGTTGCATCTTGCAGTGTGTATTACAGGTAAAGAATGCAATTAATAACTCAATAACTCTAGCTCAATGCAAATAACTCTAGATACGAGGACAAACGATGTACAAGCAGTAAAAACAGTAAAATTTGGTCATACGTAAAAATTGTACTTGACAATAAAAACTGCTCAACGAAAAAAAAAGCAAAAACAAAAAACGAAAAACCTGAAACCCATGAAAACTGTCCATATCACTACACCCAGAGACCCTTTTTATGCTTCGGCTATCCCGAAGACGCGAACGCTTCTGAACACCAACCTAAAACAAATCACAAAATAAACGACTACGTCCAATTTTAATGCAGTAAGCATTGCTTATATATAAAACAGACCAATGATATAAGCGGGACCGAGATTTGTAATGATGCTGCCACAGTACTACATAGTGATTCAAATTCTTCTCGAGCCATATGCTTCACTTTCGCAATGTACGACAATATGTTATACGAATATTGCTGGACTTGATCAGGTTCCAACATTGGATGGGAAATATTTAATCGATTAAATGCCTTTTTTAATGGCTAAAAAGGATTCCAGTTTTAAAACTGTAGAGTAATAACAAATACAGAACTGTCCCTTCAAGCTTACTCCGAGTTATAAAAACATCATAAATGTGAAAATCCTGACTCACACCAATACAAATTATGTACTACTTCATTCTCCGATAATCGAATAACCATCTATAATGATGCTACATATAATACTATATATGTGCGTTAATGATATGAAGTTAGAACTGCACTGAACCCCATATCCGCTGATTATTAAATTGTGTGAAAAGCGGTAATGGTTAAAAAGCATTATCAAACAAATGATGCAATTCTGATTGCAAAATTAAAATCTACCTGCACATAGTAACTTGGAACTGTGGTCAAGTACTTCTCCAAACGCAATCTCCAGGAATGGCTATTTCTGGCTTTTGAGTCCATTTTCATTTCCTCAATTAGTGGAAGCAAAAGCGGATAATTATAAGGCATTATAAATAAATTTACACATGATAAATTGGTGGCCGCTTTGAGGTATCCAAAAGGAGCCGGTGAACTTCCGAGTACACTTGAATTATGAACAAAAACCTGAAAATTTCACTAGTCCTAACAAAAGATTTAAATACAGTGATCTCTTCTTTGCCGATGAATTTCCGAGTTTGCAACCCGTCACATAAATAAGACAAGGTATATGGACTTGACCAAGAGAATTACTTTGCCAATCATCACTGAGCTTCAACTCACTTCCTCGTTAAAGTTCCACTGGTTTAAATATCTCGTCTTCAACTGACTAAGATGCCTACTCCTGAACTCATTGAGACTTATGAAAATACGTCCGCACAAATAATTAAAAAAAGTTAGGAGAACTCGAC